TCCAGCAAACACAACTCCAACCACCTTTCGGTCAATCAGTGGCTTCGCTCTGCCATCCCTGATTCACAACAACCAACTTCTCCTATAGGTTTCCTATTTTTGAAACTTCCGCCACCGCCTTGTGCGGTACTACTGGTATCTATAGAGGTTTATTTACATATTTATTATATCTACATATATATATAGTTATTATGTCTTTTTTTCTTTTTTTATTTATATATTTATTTAAACACCCTCCCGAACTACTTCATTCCCACCCCGCCATACATTTTTGACAATGTTTCGAACCTAGGGGCAGTGTCTAGTAGTCTAGTACTTTTAGGCGCTTGAATGTATGCAACCTAGGAGGGACAGCGTCCCTAAAGTTAATGCCAAAATGTATGACATATACAGGGGGACCACGTCAGAAGGACAATATTGTCCCCAGCCCCAACATAGTAAGCAGTACAGGAGTGCCATTCTTCCAACAGAACACAAATGTTAGTGGGAGAATCCATTTCACGCAAATGTTGGAAAAGGTCATGACGTGGCACTTCATCGAATGCACGGCTCAGGTCTAAGAACAGTTGAAGGCCGCAAAATTGCATTGGCTGTGGGTCCAGCATTTGAGTCTGAACTGTCCTCCTTTTTTCAGTTTGATCAACTGCCTGACAGCCCTACAGTGGTGAACGTAACCCTCACTGTGTCAAGTGCTGTTTCGGGCTTCTACATATGCAAATTGGAGGATGCTGCATCCGGTGATGATGAACTGCAGTTTAAAGACCTCGGCAAAGTAAATCCATCGTTTTCCCTATGGGCTCCTGTAGTGAGCCATGAGGATTTCCATTCATCTGCGATATGTGGTGTCGGCTCAGTCTCCGTGCCATGGAAATGGGAGAGCCTTTATCAAAACGAATGAATTATAGTCAAGAGCAGCTTCAACAAGTTCCGTGTCTATTTGTATAATGCTAATGTATAATGATTTATGATGGGATACTTAACAATATGCCAGGGCTCCACAATTCATTCGTTTTGATAAAGGCTCTCCCATTTCCATGGCACGGAGACTGAGCCGACACCACATATCGCAGATGAATGGAAATCCTCATGGCTCACTACAGGAGCCCACGGGGAAAACGATGGATTTACTTTGTCGAGGTCTTTAAACTGCAGTTCATCATCACCGGATGCAGCATCCTCCAATTTGCATATGTAGAAGCCCGACACAGCACTTGACGCAGCGAGGGTTACGTTCACCACTGTAGGGCTGTCAGGCAGTTGATCAAACTGAAAAAAGGAGGACAGTTCAGACTCAAATGCTGGACCCACAGCCAATGCAATTTTGCGGCCTTCAACTGTTCTTAGACCTGAGCCGTGCATTCGATGAAGTGCCACGTCATGACCTGTTCCAACATTTGCGTGAAATGGATTCTCCCACTAACATTTGTGTTCTGTTGGAAGAATGGCACTCCTGTACTGCTTACTATGTTGGGGCTGGGGACAATATTGTCCTTCTGACGTGGTCCCCCTGCGGATGTAGTGGAAGGAGGCAGCAAACAACCAAGCTAAGCCGAATCTTCGGAACGGCGGCGGAGAACAGCTCTGGCGCGCCAAAGTTCCTGCAGGAGGTTGCTGAAGACCTCGCCCGGTGCACTGCCGAAGCGGGCTGCACATATCCCAATTTCCCGTAGACTCCACCACCATGGGCTCGGTGGCATTCCAGATGCTGACCTTTGTGCACAGCGAACTGCACAAATGCGGCTCCACGGACAATGACCTGCTCTGCCCCTACCAGACGATTGCGCGCCCAGAGCAGATTCTGGTGGTATCCTTCACGTGGGACGTACTTGTTTGCATTGTCTGACGGGCGGAGGATTCCTCCATTGTTCACGGCCGCTCCAAGGCAATGGCGGACTTGAGCAACGGCATCAAGGCACAGTGGTATGTAGTCGTTGGTTGCAGGCCCAGGTTCTGATGCTCCTCCAAGGCCAGCCTGCTCAGCCACGATTGTCTCAGTGACTTGTTGGAGAGACATTCTGCACCACGGTTGGAGAGCAGGCTAGCGATCGTAGATTGCCTCTGTGCGAATTGCAAGCTTGACTACCTATGAACACGTGTTATTTCATGTTATAGATTTCTGGTTATCCACTTCAGCAAATCCAGGTTGCTGATGTTTTCCTGGACACACCCATATTACGATGCTATTCCTTGGACATTGAGAGAAATTCTTACTTGTGCTTAGTAGGGAATGAGGCAATGATCCACAATAACTGTCAATAATACCACTCCCCCATTCCCATCCATTCCCTACTAAGCACCAGTAAGGATATTCACCTCAGAAAAACTTCATTGGCTCCACCGTGGCGGCTCCAACCATTTTCGCCGTGCCTTCACGCTCTTGTCACGGCCTGGCAGTCACTGCAGCCATGTTTTGGACTCGGGATTCTGATAGCAAAACCTTAGCTAAGTTGGTTTATAACTATCATAACCATAGGACCATAGTGTATGATACTATATTATTTAGATGGGGTTATAAACCAACTTATAACTGGAGGGCCCCATCCTGTATGAAAATATAGACAAACATACTGTGGATGGAGAAGAACCTGAAGGGGGGAAAGACACCCACAGCCCGACATAAAAAAAGGGGTTGAATCCTATTCAAATTTCAGGATGCTGAAATATGGACAATTATGCTAAACATTGACATTGTTAAACTGTTTTTTCCATGTATTTGTTCAATGAGTTTTTTATATATATATATATATTGGGATGGTCTGATAAACCTCTTTTTGCTGGGGAAAAATCAGCCACAGCATCCTGAAACCACGGGGATTTGTCCACCAATCACCATCGCCATTTTGAAAGGGAATATCATGGTAAACCAGAGGACTTTCGGGTACCCCATGTCAAACAAACTGTACAAATTGGACTTTGCACGGAGATGTCTAAAAAAAACGCAACTGCAGTGGTATAATGTGGATAAAACAATAATAAACCAGCCCCCAGTCATCACCATTTTATCGGTGGTATAAACCATTCCCAGTCATGGGTGGCAAACATGACATTGTTTTAACCACATGAATCCCAACTGACTTCTAAACCTTCATCAACGCCCGGCCGAAACAAGCACCCATGTCCGGTCCTCGTACACCCTCCTGCCAGTGGTGCAAGCAGTGAAATCACCTGCTTATCGATATCTAGATGGATGAAATTGGATGATTTCAGTCCTTATTTCCAGCAAGATCAGTGTTTGATTACCGGAGGATATACACAAAAAATGTCACATGTTTTTTTCACAAGAAATGTGGGTCATCCTTAGGGTAGGTTGATGTTCCAGCAGACATAGAGCATTTTGGGGAGGGCTTGACCTCCGAACTCTGGACGAACTCGAAGCAAAATCACCAAGCGATGTGGAAAACCGGACGGTTGAAACGGTTTCCATGTTATTAAATGCTGCCCAAATATCCCAAATTCTATCAGAATCTATGAAATTCTATGAAGATCTTCCTGGCGTTAACGAAAGACCCCTTTTTTTACGCTTCCAGAGAAAAAATCCATGAAACGTGGCCATGATATCTGTAGATCTGTAACTTCAAAACCTGAGGCACCTCCAACAAATGCAGAAAAACAACCCAGAGTTAAATAAGGTCCGGTCTGACTGGGAAAAACAGAGTCTGACTTCGTTCTAACAAACCCATCTATGATTGGGTCCTCCCCTTCAGTAAATGAACATTGAAAATCAGAAAATCCATGGTTTCCCGTTGGGATTCTTGCTACAACAGCTAGATGTTCCATGTCTACACATTTCATTCACTGGAGGGATGTTCTTTTCTCTTTCTGGGCCATCTTTGCAAAAGGTTCAACTAGCAACATGTATAGATGATGCTCCGAGTTGAACAACTCCATTGCGGGACTTCCGTGGATTTCCATGCCGTGGATTTCCCATGTTTGATTCCCGGATACCAACTCCAGCAACTTCCCTGCCACTGGTCGTCCTGAATTCTCTCCAGTACTTCGGGGGCTTGCCATAGGGCCCAAGACTCGTAATCATCATCAACCTGACTTCTGGACGAACCACGGGATGCAACTGCTGGGGTGATGAAAAAATGGGTGCAACCACGGGACTCTAAGACCCATTGCTTGGAATATGGGGCTACAACTCCTTGGAGCTGCAAAAAGGGGCTTCTTCATGTTTTGTTTTTTTACATGATATAACTGGAGTTGAAGCTCCATACCTTGGGATCTAACATGATATGGGGGGGCCCTAGGCCGGCCTAGGCCCCTATGGTGAAATATAAGCCACTTATTAGTGGAACCAGCCAAGGGATTGGACCATAAAGAAGATCCCTATCCCATCCCATACAGGTTGCTTGATAGGTATCCCGGTATCCCTATGAATTGGTTGTCATAATCCCCAATGAATTAAACGTAGTACAACTTAATACAATCAGACGACATAGAACTATTTACCCTCTGGTAAACGTTTACATAACTATGGGAAATCACCATTTTCAATGGGTAAATCCACTATAAATGTGCAATTTTCAATAGCTACCAGTATGTTAAATTACCAGAGGGTAGGTATCCCTATTATGGTTATCATAATCCCCACTGCATTAAAAGTAGTACAACTTAAGCCCTCAAGAACCAATCAATCATGGTAGTTTCAATGGCTCATGTGAAAATAACAACAATAATAAACAATCTCAGTAAGTCTAAGTCTCCATAACCAACCATTTGTGGTTGTTTTACATCCCAAATAGGGGTCTACCGGCATAGTCAAGTTTATCGCATGAGGGCATTTGAATCCCTTTGACCCGTTTAAAATATATCATGAAGTAGAAGACTCAAGTCAAGCCATCAAGTGTCCGATTGGAGAAACGGAACCTTGTCGATCCAACAGGTTTTTTTCCCCATCAGATTACTTTCTGAAGACCGGTCCGCTGGGACTGGGACTTGTTTCTTGGGACTTGCACATCGCGAAATCCAAAAATCCTGTACTGCACATCAAATTCAGATCTACAGTTTGTTGGTTCATTGAGCTCAATATCTGGTCAAATCATCTAGTTGATCCACTAGACTTGTTTCCACTCAGTTGACCCAACTATATCCAACTATAGCTATAGTTAGATCAGCAAACACGAAAAGATGCTGAGATCTGAGGGGTTTTGATGTTGCACATGTTCATGTTTTAAGTGTGTTGCTGCTCTTTGTAAAACATCACTGTATATTGTAAGGAAGTTCCCATTTCATCCCAACTACGCAACTCTGTTCCCCGTAAACCAACCATGTTTTCACAACGTCACGAACCGTGTTGCGCCTTGCCATGTCCATGGAGCAGGGAGAGGAAGCGGATCTTCTGAACGAAGTCGCCGAGAAAAAACCTGGAGGTTTCGTACTATCCGCGTCGCTGTTTTTTTTTTACAAGCCATGCAGTTGTGGCCATTTATTAGTTTTAACTGGTTACAAATGGCTATAAATGGCTATAAATGGCTATAAATGGTTAAAAATGGTTAAAACATGTTAAAACTGCTTGTTTCAATGGGATGAGAAACATTCTATAAATGGGGTTTTGTTGTTAGCACTTCTAACTGGTATAACAAAGGGGCCACAGCGGGGGATCATTCCCCGAATGGCGAACGTCACCAACTGCGATTCCCGAGTGACTTCAGAGTCGTGCGCACCAACTGTAGCAACTTAGCTATCCTACAGGTGGCACAAAGGTAACAATCCCATAGGATCCATCCTGCTATATATGGTAACATGGATCCCATTAATATAGCCCCTTTATGTTAGCATATGTACCAGCACCATGGATCCTATGGGAATATTATATAACATGTGCATTATATTAATGGGAATATATGATAATATATGTTGGAATGTGTCTGACCCTGGCGAATCTGAGATACCGGTGACAGCTCACAATTTTGAATCTCGCAGCTACATGGCTGGTGAATGGACTCATTTTACCATTGATAGATTGAGATTGAAGTAATTAAGTATCTAACCAAGGTTGACCTAGTCGAGGTGGTGATGTTGTCGTTCTGAGATGGCACAAGGGTAGGTCAACAGGCGAAGGATGGCTTTCAGATCTATGGTGGATATGTAAATGATATAGATTCTCATGGTTGGATTGGTTTACAAAGCATCCGCAACTATAAAATTGGGCCCGGCCGTTGAAAAGGCCTCCGGGAACCCAAGCTGGCTGGGTCACGAACTGTTGGTAAACAGATGTTTACGCATGTTTACGCAAAGCCTGCGTGGAGTAGGCGTCCGCATGTTAGCCTATGCCACAGCATACTATGTCACTATGTTTTGTGGAGTTCCCTGTTAATCTATGTTCCTGCATCTGGATAATTCCAGCTGCCATGTCGTTCTTCTCCATGTCTTGTGTGTTCATATTCAGGTTTTGGGCGGTTAAGTCTCCACATAGTCTTAACCAAGGGCCCCAGAGTCTTGGATGTTGCGTCAAGCTACCAAACGTGAGTTCACAAAGCCGATGTGAACCGATTCCGTTGGATGAATTCCCCAAATGAATCTTCACTTAATGTGAAATATATCATTGATAGTCACCATTTTTACACGAAACCATGGTCTAGTTATAAATAGATGTGGGTTCAAAGCCAAGCAAATATAACTTTAGATCTTGCTGAATTATAAAAACGTAACCCAAAAAATCGCTGAAATGAGGTCATTTATGGGGGGTGATTCCTTTTACTAACATTCCAGTGACGGAAAACAGTGAGGTCCTGACAATTCATTCAGATTGATTAATCTCCCACTATACCTCCATGAAAATTCCATATCCCAGAATAATATCATATAATATCCAGTGATATCCCCTTGATATCCTCATTTTCTCTTGAGATTCTTGAGGTTCTGAGGTTTTCATCATTCCAAGATCTCAGTCCAAGATCCGCCAAGCCCGCCCGATCCCAAGCCGCTGGCGCGCACCTTTGGGGACTAGACCCAGGTAACCGGAAGATGTTGCTGGGAGATAAACAGCAATGAGCCACACCTGCGGTTGACATCTGAGATGTGGGAAATTTTGTGGCGTTGACTTGGCTGATTTTGGAGATGTCATTGCTAGTCGACTGGGGGGGGGTTGCAACAAGATGGAGATCGAAGAACGATAAATCAGGGGGTCTAATTAATATGGTTTAGGTTTATCCAACAAAATTGTCAAACAAAATGGAGTTTTAAGTCCCAAAAATAGCCAACTAACATCCTAAACCACGAAACATCTGGAATTTCAGCCAGTCAGACTGCAGAAAGGACCGGGGACTGGCTTCACCCAAGAGATCCCAGGTCACAACCTTCTAGAAGGTCTTGCATCAGACCTCTCAAAGACTAAAAGAAGCTAGAATTGAGCCAGATAGCACCACATGCGGTTGCATAATCATGCTTTTCCAACAAATGGTTGTGCTATGTTGTGCTCAGTCTGACCGACGTCTTCTTTCTATCTTTTAAAACACATTGATCATGAATACATATCATATGATTGATCATGAATAATCATTAACTATTAACCATTATTAAACCATTGGTTTGGTGTTTTTTATTCACCAATAGCTGTCTACCGTTCCCAATTGACCTTCATCGTCCTCAAGGAATCTATGATACCTTACGGAAGTCCAGGACCTCAAAAAGAACCTCCTTATCAAAATCCTTAGAAAGTGGGTTAAAAAGTACGTCCATGTAAAATCCTCATGATGTACCTTTTGAGGCCTTAGGGCTTTTTGGGTTATTTATGATTCTGACTATTACACAACGATAGTGATCTGGATTGTAGCTATCTATGCGTAATATGGAACCGTATTTTAACTATAATTGAGATATTTATGATAGGTATTTAAAAAAATACAATTAGCAATATGGGGATTTTACCCTGGAGTAAATTACTGTAATACCGATATGACATCAAACAATTGTAGATTATGCTCTAAACGGAAAAGCAATAGGTACTGATACTCATATTTATGTTGATGCTACTGAAGATATGACTTGTATATTAATATTGTGTATCAAGGTTGTCCAAAAAATAGATAATCCCCACTCCCCGAATGGTACGTTGTGGTAGTGGGGTATATTCTGGCATTGGGGCTACCATTGTTATGATCATGCAGGATTTCCCCTGGCAAAATGCTATCCTGTACTAGTACTTGGAGGGTTCCACTAAGAGCTCCACTAAGAAGTGGTCAAGAAAGAGTTGTCGGGCTGATATTTCAACTTGTGGAGTCCAAATCCCATGGTGAAAAACAGATCTAGGTTTGGAGGGTTCACAGACCTTGATTTTTTTCGATGTTCGGGGGTACCCATGTCATCCCTGCAGGCACTGCAGCCATATTCCCATGAAATCTGCCATGGAATTTTCCCACGAGATTCCCACGATATTCCCAGCTTTCCCCAATGATTCATGGCAAATAGATGCTGATTACCCAGGATTCACCCATCCCTGTCATCCTGTCCTTGTTGCTTCATGTTGGGAGTTATCCCACTGAACCATATAGTAACTATACGTAAACCCCAATCACACGTGTTTCCACAGCATGAAATCCTGCGTTTACATTTTCCCACCATTTTCCGCATTTTCCCACCTGCATCATGCAACTTGCTGAGCTGCGTCTCCACACAGCGCAGCAGTTCCACACAGCTCGCCACGCCTTTAACGAAGCCGTCCACATCCAGAGCTTGGCGACCTTCCACCTGACGTGGCCAGAACGTGGTGCAAGAGAACACGTGAAAAATTGGAGGTTTACAAAAAAAACGTAAACCTGGCATGTTTCATGTTTTATTCCATGAAAAATGGTAAGTTCACTGCGAAAAACGAGGAGTTGAACCATGGAAACATGGGGGTTTTAACTAGCAAAGACAAGAGTTCCAGTGGGAAACCTGCAAGACATAAAGGATTTCACCAAACACAGTGCGTTTCAAGTGCGTTTCACCTGAGAGCAAACCAAAACAGGCGTTGAATCCAGAAAATAGAGATTTAATCTTCCAAACACTCGGAATACTAAGCGCGACAGCAATAACCTGGGAAACCCGACACAAGAATGAACTTCCCCAGCAACAAAAATGAATTAATCTAAGAATGAGAAATATGTTGAAATGATGATGGAACCCACGATTTTAAGAAAAAAAATAATACATCAAAAAAATGGAAGTCATCTTATTTCATCAGAAAACATGCGTTGATTCAACTAACCCAAAAATAATGAGAATGCCCATGCATCACCCAAAATGAGCTCAATCAGCGCCAGTTTGAGGTTCAGGCCGCGACACTTTGTTTCCGAAAGAAGTTGCCATGGAAAATCACCATTTTCAATGGGCAACTGGTTGGTGGTTTCAACCCCTCTAAAAACATTATATAGTCAGTTGGGATGATTATTCCCAACTGAATGGAAAGTCATAAAATTCATGTTCCAAACTACCAATCAGGTAAACTCAGGTAAAATATGCTAAAATCATCTACAAATGGGCCAGCGATGGGATTTTTGATGGTAATCTCTGGGTCCAGAGATCACGCGTCCTCAGCTGTTTTCATCCCATTTGTGTGTGTGTCTTTTCTTTTTAACCACTGATAGTAACCAGCTATCCTTTGATATACCTACAATTCCTAGTCTTTATCTGAATGTTTGTTGGTGAAATTTGTTTCAAATAACACAATTTCGTTAGATTTGTAAGCCGAGTTTTGTTTCTTACATATTTCCGATTAATAGATGGATTAGTAGCTTGAAAGAAAAAACATGTTGCCTCTAAATCCTAGCCAATTTCTAGTGGTTAATAGGCAACTACTTTAGTACAAGGCGGTGCCAACTGGTCATAAGTTGATTAGCCTCTGAGTGGCTCTAGCCTTCACGAGGCTGTTACGGGTAATGGGGGGCATGCCTAACCGATAGAGCCATGACATGCGGGTGCTGATATGTCTGCAGTTTCTGTGGAAAGCCTTGACGTTTCTGTGATACACTTCCTCCCCTACATGCTTTTTGCCTACACCGTGTACCATACAACTCAGTGACTCAAATTTGCTGCCAGCTGGAGATGCCTTTGCCGACAGTGATTTTCAACTTCTTGATTTGCCTTTGGCTTTTATCTAGATTTTTGGTGATGAGTGAGTTGACGCCCTTGAGCAATATGCTTTTGAGATCTTTTTGAGATCTTTTGAGCAACTGAGTTAGTGGAGCCGGAAATTTTGATACAGTATGGATCTTACGGTGAGGGCCTAGGCCCATTTGCCTCCAGGGGAGCTGCGCCCTTTCTGAAGTGGATGATTTCTGCCATGTCTTGAGCCAATGGAACACAACTATGGATGCTATGCCTGCGGTCTACGTGTTTCTGTCAGCTTGAAGAATTGTTACAACCCAAAGGGGCCGCTTTCCAGGCAGCCAACTTGGATATGCTTGTTACTTTGTCATTATATCTGCCGGTCGACAGCTCATACACTATACATGTCCTGAATTTTGGACACTCCAAAATAGATTCTAGGTAGTGTACATGTACTATTAGTATAGTGTACAATATACATATATTTGCCACTGAGATTCTCACTCCATGTGATGGGTCGACTGTGCTCCCACCAGTGCGACTGGGACATAAAAAGACCACTGGACGGGTCCCTTTGCTCCGCATGCTCCGTGTCATAACTTGGGGCTTATGTCCCATGGAACTACGAGATGCTACGAGTATGTATATATAGTATATATATAGTATATATATATATTATATATATATATACTGTATATATATATATACTGTATATATATATATACTGTATATATATATATATATTATAGTTGGAATTACCATTAGACCAACAATTCACTAGTATAGGATAGTAATCACACACAGCCGTTCACGTTGATTCTGTAGATCTAGCGGATCTAGACGAATCGGTCCCACCTAGCTAGGAATCGGACCAGGCTCAAGTCATGTTGGGTTTCACTAACTTCTACCAGTCGACTAATCTTAAATAAATTGCATGTGTAATAGTTGGTTGTGGATGGTTGTAGTATGTTATAAACGTCTGTTCTGAAAAAGGAGTATTTCATAAACAGTACATAGAAGTATCTGAACACTATTACAGTCAATCAATATATTCGTTGACAACATATAATTAGACTTATCAAACAACATTGACACCATATACTCAAACTCATTAAACAACAGGATCAAAAAAACTATGGGCATCTATGGGCCCAAGATAACAAACAAATGAACATCGTTTAACCCTATGCGATTTCAGAGTACAATCATCGCTCATCCTGTTGGCTGTCCGGAACAGCCATAAAGAGTGACACTGGCTCTGCCGGAGGTGGTGGAACTGCTGGGGCAGGGGCAGGTCCGGGTGATGTTGATCCTCCCGGATTTGCAGTCCCAGCAGGCCCAGTAGTTCCAGGGGCACTGACCGTTCCTGGTGTGAGAGGAGTTCCTGCATCTCCCACGGCATCTGGAGCTGCAGCATTCTGAGCTCGTTCCTCTAGGAGTCTCACCATCTCTCGAAGATGCCTTCCAATGCTATCAAAGCCACGACTGAGGTTGGTCTCCAACTTCTTTGTTTGCTTCTCTACTTCACTTTGGACTCCCTGTATGTTGGCTTCCACTGACTGGTTGCCAGTTAGAGCCCAACGACCAGTGGCCGAACTGGACAACTTCAGTAGCCGCATGAAAAACCACGATTTTTCATGGTGATTCATCACCACGGAACCCCAATTTTGGTGAAAGCATCATGTTTCACCATTCTTCGGCTTCAAATAGTGAAATTCTCAATAATTCCCCATTTTCTTAGTCAAACCATCATGTTTCCTCAATTTTGCATAGTTAAAACCATCATTTTTCACCATGTGTCATGGTGAAATCCCCATTTTCACCACGATTTCTCTCTGGAGCCCCGCACCTCCGGCGTCCACAAGACACAAATGGTCGCCACAGAGCGGCGCAAGGCGATGGGGCCCTGGATATCTGGTTGGATCCTGGATTCCCTGGTTTTATTCGTGGGATTTCTGTAGGGTTAATCATGGTTAATCCATTTACAACTGGGGTTATTAATGACCTACTTACGATTCTGTAAGTGGGATGAACCACCAATTACATCATTTTCCGAAACCGTGGATCTTCCATAGCATGTTCATGCTTTTTGTATATGTCTACAGATCAGATCCAGTAAGTTTCATCAATTGTCTATCTGGTTGGTGGTTGACCTACCCCAAAAATTATGGAGTGAAAGTCAGTTGGGATGATGAAATTCCCAACTGAATGGAAAGTCATAAAGGTCATGTTCCTTTGACCACCAATAAGATATGTTTTAAGATACCCTCCAGTAAATTAACATAGACCCACTAAGAATTGGTGATTTTCAGGGTCTATGGGAAAATGTACCAGAGGGTATCTTAGTTACTGATATTCATGGGTGAACTATAAGATAGTTGATAGATGTTGATAGTTGATAGATGTTGAACGTATGTTTTATGTGTTGTGTTTTTTTACAATCAACATCATTGTTACAATGTGGAGCCCCCCAGTTATAAGTTGGTTTATAAACCCCATTCACTATAGTTATTTGCGTATCATAAACCCTAGTTATTGAGGTTATGTTCACCAACTTAGCTATCGTTTGGAGTCTGGAGGCCTCACATTGCTATAGTATTTGATATGGTGCAATAAAATTGTTCGCATGGCATAACCTTGCGTTGCAAGATTCCACCGCAACCCCCGATCCTTGTCCGACAGATACTTAACGACACATTAGTCATGTAAGGCTTTCAGAAACCAACATAAAGGTCATCCGAGTTCCATTATACCCTCTGGTAATTTGTTACATAGCTATTAAAAATGGTGATTTTCCATAGTTATGTTAGTTTACCAGAGGGTAAATAACATGATCATGACTAATAAGGGTGCTGGATACAATGATAGGATGCTTATATGAATACTCTTTGTAGGAATTACTATGGTAATTGTAAGTATGATATCATAAAGAGTAGACACGCACGTAATAATAGTAGTAGTATCAATAATAAATACCGACTAAACTATATAATCGCACTAAGAGTACATTCATATTCTTAACCAACTCTAGATGCATATCCCTCACAATGGGAAATCTCATGTTTTTGTTCAATAATAAAACAGTCGTCTGTAAGCGGATGCGTTTCTAGTCCTGATGAATCCCATCAGCCACTGGGCAAAATGATGAGATCATATGAGATCCAATCATGGAGGAGTAGGAGATAATTCAAAGAGCTAGGCAAAGGAAGAAAAAAACCTAGGAGAGAACAACCTTTGCCCACTATTTGTAGAGATAAGGCCTCCCCATGCAGACTCAGGAAATACTGCCAGAGCGAGTTTAAAACCAAACCAAGCGACCACAATTTCTGTGATTGATAATTTCACACCTGAACCACCGAAAAAAAAGCCTCGGAAAAGCAATGGCTACCATGCTCTCGTTCAGCCACTGGCTTGAGGGGCCGCCTAGATTCAAGTTGCTTGTAAAACTAGAAATCACTAGGCTTCATGGTGGTTTCTCCTTATTGATCTGGGTAAATGATTTCACGAACCTGAATCTTGCGACCATCGATGATTTCCCTATAAAAACCCATGGATTCGTATGGCAATGAGTCCGATTGAATAAGCGACCCTATGACCCCCATTTTTATCTACAACAAGCAACAAACATCAACCAACCAACCATTATTTATCAGTCATGTAACATTTGTGTACGATGTGATGTTAAATTCCATATTTGATGCCTAGATCCCCAATTAAAATTGGTAACATCCACCCGTTTTCTTGGTTAAATCACCATATAGTAACCCCAAAAAGGAAACAAGAACGATCTTGACTACTTCAGAAGGACTTTACTTATCTATCATTTTGGAGGTTGCTACAACGTGAGCCCCCACAATCATAAGTTGGTTTAGTAACCCATTAACTATAGTTGCATCCCCCATAAACTCGAATTAACAAGTCATGTGCGTCATCTTAGCTATCATAAATCAGCCATACATCCCATTAAATCCCCATTTGAGTTGGTCAAATCACTATTTTCTGATGGTTCGTCTACAAACGGGGGCCTCACCAAAAATATCAATCCCCGGTGAAATCTCTTTGTCGGTTTTCCAGTTGATCTTGGCCCATTGGGATTTCAACGGACGACCTCATCGCTATTGCGAATCCACTCACGTAGGTCTTGAACCACTTGTTCTGCCTGCAGATGTCGACGGTGCGAAACCTACCTCGGGGTGCAGGACCCAATGGGTCGTAAGTGGGTTACGAGTTACATTTAATTTAAGTGGGGTATATCCTATACATAACTACATAATTGGCTTATATTGTTATGATTTTTTGAGAATCAACAACTTACGAACTGAGCACATCCAAGTAACTTTAGACTCATGATGAATGAAACCGTATATACTTTTTTTCGGGCGTAGTTGGGGCGTTTATTATGGATATAACCATGGGATCATAGCATATAGGGCCCCAAAGTTGTTTTTTTCCACGAGGCCAATTAGTGCAACTCCACCACCAAGTAGAACATATCGATACTGTGAAAACTTAGATGCCATAGAAGCCTAGGATAACCATAGGAAACCATAGGAAAATCTTGGGAACCGTCTTGTCCCTTCAACTTTGGACAACTTGATGGCCCTGGTAACCGCAGACTTTGCCAGTCACAGTCTTGATTTGCCCAGTTCGCAGTGGCAAAAACTCTGGGGTAATAACCCCCAAAGCAGTTCAGAAAAAGAACTTCGTTTACGTTCCTTTACCACATATCTTACTGTAATCAATCATGATTTTTCTTTTAACTCAAATCTCTTAGCTTTGGGGAGTACTATCCATCAACCCCCCCAAAATATCCC